TTCCATTTAAAAAAATTAATGTGACCTTGACCTGACCTTCGCTACGCAACCCAAGGTCAAACTGATGTGATCAGTAAATACATCTTTTTAAACGCCACAACTTTTATCTGAAACATTTTTTTCTAAAATGCTTAGTTTTCGAGATATTTCACCGGTCCGGGACTTTTTGAACACCCTGTATATATATATTCAGTTATATAAATTTTTCATTACAAACTGCATTGCAGTGAGCAAATGAGATATGTAAGATATGTTAAGATATGTTATCCGCAACTATCTTTATCCTTTCTGCAAAATTACAGCGTTAAGATTATAGCGAAGCGGCACAAAAAAAGCGGAACGGTTGTGATTGGTCACACTGGTTCCGCGTGTTCCGTTCTGCGGAGAATTTCCACCCCATTGGACGTCGGTCTTAGGGTGGAGTCCCATGGCATATATTTTCCGCGTACCGCGTAAGCGCGTAACCAATAAATTGCGACGTATAGTATTTCTGTTGGAACTTCTAAAAGAATAGAAAGATGTGATTGGTTACGCGGTTACGCGTTACGCAAAAATACGTGCTCTCTAATGGGACTCTACCCTAAAACTATTATGACTTCTGCACACAGGACGCGGTAATGCTTGTCGCGCGGCGGAAGTCGCGCAACAGCCAATCAATATGCTGCTTTCCGTAATAACCTTTTAGCTCTTACGGAAAAACAACATATTGATTGGCTTTCGCGCGGACTTCCGTCGCGTGGCAAGCATTACCGCGTCCTGTGTGCAGGAGCCATTAGCGTGTTCGACTGGCCCTGGGTTAATCGCTCCGAGAACGATTAATGACGTCATAAGTCTCTACTAGCCAATCATAAAGCTTATAAGTATTTGTTCGACCAATAAACGTAGGCTGAATAACCCAGCGTGGGTTAACTCAGAGCCAGTTGAACATGCTATATGTAATTTACATCAAGTATTTAGGTTTGTTCGCGTCGCATGCCCCAACGTGCTTCTACTCGCTCCAACACACTCTGCTTGATTCACGTCATCACGCGGACCAATCAGAGTGCATTGAAGCGAGTAGGAGCACGTTGGGGCATGCAACGCAAACAAATCTTTTTACTTGCCAACCCTGTTCATAGGTTTCCTCTGGTTATATTGGCTGCGTTCAGCAGAGAAAGCTGCTTTGCAACTGTTGTAAAATTCGTGAATCTGATTGGTACACTCTTGGATTTAACCAAAATTAAGAGCATACTCCAATCAGATTCACGAATTTTACAACAGTTGCAAAAGGGTGGGACCCGATTGACCACGATACGATTGGACACAGATTGAATGATTGGTTCGACCTAGTAATTCACTAGATAATTCTTTTCATCGGTTGGTTGTGTCCAATCGTACCGTGGTCAATCGGGACGCTCCCGTTGCAAAGCAGTTTTCTCTGCTGAACGCAACCATTGTTTGAAAATGAAAAAATTGATATCGCCGTTCAGTCCTAAAATTGGATTTTTACTTATTGTATCATTTCTTTTTAACCTCACAAGGTAATTTATTATTTGTATTATTTTAAAAATAGAATCGATTATGAAAAATTAATATCTTTTTTATAGCCAAGACGAAGTTCTGTCCAAAGTTCAAACTCCATTTAGCTAAGACTAACCTATTAAATGTAACTCATCAATAGATATGTCAATCAGAATTATATAGCTCAAATGACACTATTTGATATCTGTCGAAAGTTATATGTGATATAAGAAGATATTAACAGATTTTTGCTTTCAAAAAAATTTGTCATGTCAGGGATCAAGGTAACATCTATGTTTATTAATAATTATATTTTGAATAGTACTTGTAAAATTAGAATTGTTAATGATAAATTATGTAAGTATATACAGATTTGAGTATGCATGATGCCATTTTTTTATTCTTAAACCTTTCAGTAGATGTATCTATTATTTTTGGCGCTTGATTTACCACCATATTCTACAAAGTTGTTTTTTCTTGAGAATACATATAATATAAACAATAGACTATGTATATTACAAAAAGAAGATTTATCTTTTATATATATATATATATATATATATATATATACATATATATATTTATATTATAGTTTTCAAATTATATTCCTATGCAACACATGTCATTACATGTATATGAAACTGACCAATCACAATACAATGAATA